ACAGTTGGTCTTTGCCCACTTGCTGCTTTCCTGTCCCGACAACCATTGGGAGCAGAGTGAGTAAGAGAGACCTTGGCTTTTCAGAATTACTTGCATTTACCTTTCATCTGGGCTTAACTGTGGACTTTCTCAGCCATTCAGGTTCATAGTTTGTAGAGATGTACTCTGCATCAACAGACAGGACTGCTTCCTGCTTTGTCTATAGCTCTGGAAACTACATTAAGGCGTTTCCTAGGTAGTGTAGGTTTAAGGTGGTGAGGTCTGGCAGGGCAGTTGATGTGGTACTTTTGAGAGGGTGCTGTTTTTTTTAATGGAGATGAATGGATTTGTTAGGGGGCAGCCAGATGTAAGCTAGATTTCAATAACAGACTTCCCACACAGATGGGAAAGAGTAGCATTTGTGGGGATCCTTTTCTGGGTGGCCCCTTTCTGATGGAGCCCTGGATGTAATTGTTGGAAATGAAACAGAAATGTTCCATTTCTGAAACATTTGGCCACTGTGCATGATTAATCTGTGTATTTCATCCCTCGCATTCATTAGATTGTATTTGGTTAATCTCCTTCCTTTGTAACCATAATTAGAAAAGAAGTTTTTGTTTACGTTGTTCAGAAGTAAACAACAGACCTGGGAATAGTGGAGTATTGGATGGTAGAGCTCTTTGTGGTACATGGCGGGTCCTACATACAACTAAACTACATCAAGGCCTGGAGACAGAATTCTACACACACTGAAGCAAAACTGCTCCTTTTCAGTCTTTGGTGCTACATATGTTCAACTACAAGGTGACAATAACAATATTTTGAAATATGTTGTGTTCTGCCTACATGAAAGAAACAAATATAAAATAGGCTTTGTTCTGTTCTACTAGATATCAAGATTCCTTTCCTTTTTGTTTGTTACTTGTTCCTTGTTGGCTGTGGCTCTTTGGCCCCGGTGGTGGCAGCATACAAGCAGCAGGAGGAAAGGAAAAGGAAAGGAAGAGAGAGGGAGGGAACGAGCAACGACCCGTCAAGACCGGGCAGGGGGGGAGAGAGAGAGAGACCTAAAAGCAGAAGCCCCAGTGGCGCCAAACCCCTGAGGGAGAAGACTGCCTGGCAGGGAGAGGACTCCCCTTCTGGATGCGTGGCTTCACCTGAGGGAGAAGACTGCCTGGCAGGGAGATGACTCCCCTTCTGGATGCGGGGCTTCAGGGGGGGCAGGCGGGACCCAGCCTCTACGAGGCGGGGAGCAAGCCGTGCGGCAGGACCCAGCCCCTACGAGGCGGGGAGCAAGCCGTGTGCTTGACAAGTAAGTGCCGTCGCTGCTGCGCCCACTCCAGGTTGGGCTGAAATTATAAGCCAGGCAGATTTTGAGAGTGGGTGGACCATGTTGCATTCGTGCGCATGCGCCGAAGCGTAACACGTCCCTCCACAAGCACAACATACCCACCCATGAGCGTGACACCCCCTCCCACAAGCACAACATGCCCCTTGTGCGTGCATGCGGGGGTGTGTGGAGATCTGTGTCCGTGGCCCAGTTAAAGGAAGCCCACAGGCTGGCGAGCCCACAGACTGGCGCCGGGCCACGGACCACAGGTTGATGACCCCACCATAAAGTACCAATCAGAGCATCAAAATGGGGACATGTATTACTCAAAAGCATTGAGGACATTGACTTTCATATAATTCATATGCTGGTTTATGGTTACAGAAATGAAAGCAGAAATTATTTATTTATAATTTTAAATCCAATTTCAATGCCATCCTGCCCAAGTAGGGAAGACTACTTCTTTTCCATGTCCAAGGCTCTTCTGGGAAGCACAGTAGGGAACTGAACTCACAACCTCTGGCTCCGTAGCCAGATACCTAATCTCATTGCACTATCTAGCCAGCTCTTTAAATGGAAGGCACCTTGAAAAGGATGTCCTTTTAAATTTGATCACTTGCCCATCTTACTATCAGTATTTGAGTTCACACCCCCAAAATACATCCTTGTTATTATTTTGATAATTCTGATGAAGAATCACAACACTCCAGCTTGATTACCCTCCTTGCAACCAACCAACCAACCAACCAACATAAAAAGACATTGTAATTTGTTAACTATTGAGACAGGGTTTGTCAGGGGCTGCGTCAGCTACCACTTACACTTGATAAATGCAGCCAAATGACTACCAGATATTTCACAAGAGGGGACATTTTTACAATGGCACTTATTTTCACCTCCCAGATCCTAAGGAAACACTACTATAAGAACATTATTAGTTTTGTCAGAGCACCAAAGATCATGGTACCTACTCAACCATTACATTTAAAATAATATCAAGAATGAATGATTTTTTTTTACACTGCATTCATCATTCTGAGGAAGGGAGACTTCTCATATTTATCAACTACAAAAAGCAGTTGATAAGATGTATTTGATATGCGGTGACATTTGCTTTTAATCAATTTAAAGGGAAATTGTTGATGGATAGGTGACTTGTCAAAACATAATACCCCTTCAATATATAATCCAAGATTACATTTATAACATGCATGTCTGGCCCCTTCTTACCGAAGAGAGCAGAAAATATGAATGCAGTTACTCTTCCGATAGAAAGGAAATCTCCTTCCATTCCCTTCCTTGTACACCTGAAGTTCTACAAATATCCTTGAGAAAGTGAATGGGTGCTCTTTCGCACCACAGAGCTTTAAATCCTAACACAAAAATATAATTACTTTAGAGGTGATTTAATTTTCTGAGTACATTCAATCACAGACTCTAAATACTAAAAATCCATCTCAGTAAAGCAAGCATTACAATTCTGACCATGCTGTTTACAGATGAAGAACAGTAAATGGATGGTACGAATAGAATACTCATTTTACCCCATTGCTTGGCACTCTCTCATAATCTCCTGCATGCAATACAATGCACTCATGTTCAACAGCAGGCTCAGAAGCATGCTGTATTTCACACCGCTGACTTTATTTAACACCTCTGTGACTATAAATTACATTCCTTTCCAGTTTGAGTGAAAAAAACATACACAAAAAAGTGTGTCTTCCTGGTTTCAGATGCTGCCAGTTGGGTAAATTATGGTCTGAGCAGCCAGGAATAAATGCTGCATGAAGTACATTTCTAATATTAGACCAAGGTAAAAGGCGAGGAGAAACTTTTATGACACTCTGATGGAAATAATTCATGTCCTTGCAATTCGGTTTCGCATTAGGACAGAAAATAATTTCTATTATAAATTAAGAACTACATTCTGCCATCCTCACCTTGACCAGAGCAGTTTATATTCAGGGGCAGGATTTCTTATGGCTTAGAGTCAGCAAGACTTTCTGCTGAAAAAAAAACCCTGTGCTTTATTTGAAATGGACACCCTCCCTCTCTCTCCCTCTTACGCACAAAGTGGAAGAGAAAATAGAGAAAGACGATGATTCAATTAAAAACCTACACAATACATTACCTTCCGCCTCGAGCACTGAAAGGTACTACATGGATGCCCAAGGGTCCACCGTCATTGGAGACTTCGACGAGCTTTACCATATCACTGCGAGACAATGATGAATGAGGGAATGTGAACATGTACTGTAAATGAACCAAAGAAAGACACCACACACACACACACACACACACACACACACACTGCACAGAAAGATATTCCAGAACTGGTGGTGATGAAAGCAACGTTAAGTGCTACATACCTCAGTATTAATCTGATGGCATGAAAGGAGATCAATCATAAAAAAACAATTCCATTAATAAATCAAATGAAATGTGAATTAATGTTTTGGGTAACCAATGCATTACACGGATTATATTATGTACAACCCAGACAGGATGGCCTTGAGGCTGGCTTTTACATGAGTTAGATGTGAAGTCCTGGCTCTAATAACTGACTGCCTTATAGGCAGGCAAATAGTAAGTTCAGTGTGTCCACCATGCAATGTG